GAATCCTAATTCCATAGAACTCTATTTAAATTCATTAGAAAGAAATTATGGTGCTTATGGGTCAGATAGATTTAACAGCAACAACAATAATAACCATCATCATATTAATAACTATATTATTAACAATGATCGTCACCGCCAACATCATCATTACCGTAGCAATAATAATAATCATCACTCATGGACTTTAATGAACTATGGATCACCAACAATAAAAAACTCTTTGTTATCATCGTCACGTAGAAGAAAAGTAGATTGGGGGGAAGATTCAAATCGTGCCATTAAAAACCAAAAGATTCAAAAAACAACTGTTGGTCCATGGAAAGAAAATATTGATGCTTTTTCCTCTTTTTCATCTTCATTGTCATCAAAGGATTTGATTGAATGTCCAGGAACCCCACCAAACCAAATTCGATCAATTAATGACATGAAAACACCAGATACTGCATTTTCATTAAGTGAATATTTGAATATGTCTCCTATGCAATAGTAATATATATACACGTACATATATAGATATATTGTAGCTAAAAAAGCATTTAATAAAGCATTTTCATTTTTTTATCTTTTACTATTTGCTTAATATTTCTTATCATGAATTTTTTTTTTAAAATGTATAAATGTATAAAATAAAATGATAATTAAAACAAAAGTCAATGATCAAATAAAAATAATCTATGTAAATGTACTTTTTTATTTATTATTGATTAGCATGACAAATGATCAATTGACCATCATCACAGGATTATTTTAAAAATTATCTAAGGTTTCTATAAATATTAAATATTGGGAAAATAAAATACAATTATCCATCTCATTATTTCCAAAAAAGAAATGTTTGTTTTATCATCCCAACCCTCCAAAAAAAAAGTTGATTATTATTTATGACGAGGAACCATTTTCATCATCTTCTCTTTCTTCATGAGGATTATTACCTACCATTTGTTTATTCAATTAAAAGAAATGTCAAAAATTTCATTTAATTAAATAATTAATTCATAAACATGGAATAAATAAACACTATAATAACAAACACCTCCACCACCCAAAAATTGTTCTAATAACATAGGATGTGAATTATGATTTGCTGCAACATTCAACTAAACAAACAAACAACAGACAATTGATTGACTAATTAACTAATATGTATATATGCTATATCATTCATATCTACATGTACAAGATTTATTAACTTACCTTGTTATTTATTTTTATCCTAGTATGATTTAAAGTCATTGATTCCGTTTTCTTGACTCAATGAAGTTTTCATCATTGATGCGAGTTCAACAAATTCAGGATTCAATGTTGATTCCCCAGAATCTGAATCATCTTTGTCATTACCATTTTCAGATGAACTATCATTACTACTATTATCACCAGATGAAGCTGAATCTGATGAATTATTTCTTGTACCATTGTCATCATTGTCATCATTATTGTCATAGTCATTGTCGTCATCATTGTCATCATCATTTTGCAGGTGTCTTATTTTTTGTATTGTATTAGGTTCTACTACTTCTAAATAATCCTTCCCCCATGGATTATCATCATCTTCATCCATTTCCATATTGTTATCATTGTCATTATTATTATGAACATCAACATCAGCATTGTAATTTTCTTCAACCATTTCACCAAATTTTATAGCAAATTCTTGCAGTTCACTAGATGTTTCAAAATTATCAAATTCACCTGTATTAACATGATAACTAGATTTCACAATTTCTAATGACCATGTCTAAATTTAAAAAATAAAATGTTAAAAATTTTTTTTTCAATTATTAATATTAATTAATATTAATTAAATAAAAAAATATTTACGTTTGTTTCCTCATCAAAAATCATTAAACATTTTTTAATGGCTTCTGGATCATAAGTATTATTATTATGACGATCTTCAACCAAATGTCCTGTTAATTTTGGTGAATAAATAAACAAGATTTTAAGTTAAACGTCGCGGTGAGTGAGTGAGCACGAATTTATTTGTAAGTATTTTAATATTAATATTAATAAAGCAATAATAATAAAACAAAAACGATAGATTTTTTTTCTTCTCAAGAGCAGTAAACATCAATTAACTAAATATTAATATTAATATATATTAATATTAAATAGCTTGCTTGATAAACCTTTTTTTTTTTAATATATATTGCAAAAAAATAATAATACAAATGCAGTGGCAAGTAGAAAAGATTGATTTGTTCCATAACATAAATTAATTTTTTTTACTGCCTTACCAAATTTACAACCCTTCAGTATTAACCTTTTATATGCAATTTTTATCAATTTCATCAGACAAAAAAAAAATATATTACACATGTATCTATATTGTATTTTATGAACTTGTTTTTGATGCAAAGTAAGGATAAGAAGTGGTGTTGTTAGTTAATTAACAGTTGATTTAACTTGTTGTAAAGAACCAAATTTTTAGCTAATTATCCAGGTCTTCACAGTCCTTGGCAAACTGCTAACACAATACTTGTTGGTAAAGTGTCCTGTTGGTAAAGTGTTGCGAGTGTGCAAATTCAAATACAGCTTGTGATGTGTCCAATAAATATATAAGATAAAATAAATAAAAAGTCCAATATATAAATCTCCCTATCTCACACACAGCTAAGGGTTCTCAAATTCCAGGCCTCTATCTCCGCACACAGCTAAGAGCCTATCCCAAATTCTATTGCACAATCTCTCTACAGTACCAATATGAGGTACCTGCTGGCAAAAGCCTAACAATGATAAATAAAAGAAAAAGAATATATACAAGAAATATTTACAACTATACCACTTGAGGCGTCCCTACAAGCAGCATAGAACAATCAAACAGGGGGGGTTTCTAACTAATGATTAGTGGCCAGCCACTAATCATCAGAGAGGACCATGGAACAATTCACAATGGCTTT